GTCAAATGTGTCCTCATTTTTAATGCACCATGGTCCTGTAGGCTCAGATTACATATTTATTCAAACAGGATTCCTGCTTGATCTGCGCAACAGACTCAGCTCCTACTGCCTTCACATCCTGCCTTGTCTTTTCCAGCACTACTTCAAAAGAACGTTGACGGATTGTTTCGCTTTTTTACATATTCATTTCGTTTCACCCTGCTTTTAGCCTTTATTTTCATTTCCCAACACATCAAATGCAAACTAGGGGCCACCAATTAAGTCGGAGCTTGTAGTAGACTAATTAGAGTGCAAAAATAATCCTCCCGTTTCCTGTCTCTGTGGACTCTGCTGTTGATATACATGCCTCCCACCCAAACCGAATTAATAATCGCTATAGAAGCCCTTTCAACGGGTTTGCTGTGTGGCACAGAGCTCTTACATTAGTATAAGGGATTTCAGCAGGAACTCATTTCACACGAGTTAAAGAAAGCAATAGGGACTGAAATGTACAGCTGAGCCTTAGGGGACAACATGTATAATTGTAACATTTAATAAATCTAACTGAAGACAGGTTCTTCTCCATTTTCCAGAAGCCTGTTTTGGAAGAATCTCTCCTTGATTGTCTGCCTTGTTATATGTTTTCATTTAGTCAAAATCAAAGCCTGTCCATTAAAAAATCTAGTTTTCATAAAGATGTTTAATTATTCAGATTATATTAGTTTAATTTATTGCAACAGACACCACATACCAACCTTTGTTTATTAGTATATATATATATATATATATATATATATATATATATATATATATATATATATATATATATATATATATATATATATATATATGTATGTAGTTGAAGACAGCTTACCCCCCTGAATTATTAGCCCCCTTGTTTATATTTCAAGACACTTCTATACAGCTTAAATTGACATTTAAAGGCCTAACTAGGTTAATTAAGTTAACTAGGCAGGATAGAGTAATTAGGCAAGTTATTGTATAATAATGGCTTGTTTTGTAGTCTAGTGAACTAAAAAAAATGTTTAAAAGGGCTAAAGATTTTGACTTAAAAATGGTTCTTAAAACATTAAAAACTGCTTTTATTCTGGACAAAATAAAAAAAAAAATACGACTTTCTCCAGAAGAAAAAGTATTATCAGACATACTGTGAAAATTTCCTTGCTCTGTTAAACATCATTTGGGAAATATTTGAATATTGTCACGATCCTCCAAATCCTCGATTCGATTACATTTTCGATTCTAAAGGCACGATTCGATTAGATTTTGAATAATTAATTAATTAATGACCAATTAATTATTTGTAGCCCACCGTTTAAACTACCTGACCTGCATGGTCTTTGTTTTATCCATAAACAAATCATACAGTAAATGAATAAAGGTAAGATACACACATAATTACCACCTGTCAATCACTTTTTCAGCGGGACTCATGAATAGGCAGTGATCTGTGTCGTTATAATGGTATTGGTAAAAAAGACGCACAACCAACAGGAACCAGCCAACAGTATCTGAGGTGTTCGCTAAAAGGACTAAGTACAAGTGAGTGAAAGATTGAAGCAGTCTACTGATCCTCTGACTGCCTGAACCCGCTGTCTCGAGCCCATGGCTGTGTGTGTGCGTCTGTGTCTGTGTGGTCACGTGATATGCATTTTCAGAGGTAGTGAGGAAGGAGGGCTGCTCAGAAATGCTACACGCCACTGTGGATGTCAAATCGTTGTCGTTCTAAAATGCCATTTAAAAACAAAGACAGTGTAAACAGGGCCTGAGTGTGTACTTTTCGCAAGCGGATTTGCAATGGGGGCGGGCGGAGGATCGCGATGCCGGTGTTGTCTATTGGACGAACCCTAATACGTACATAGCAGAGCTTGCAAAACTGTAACTCACTGGAAATCCAAAATGCTTACACACCGGTGACTTCATTGAAAGAGGAGAGGATTTAAGCTCTGTCGACGGGTCTCCTGTATCTGCAGTTCAACAAGCACTTCAACAAAAATTAAAAATTAAAAATCATTAAAAAATCATTAAAATTAAAAATCGAAATCATGACACCCCTAATATATATATATATATATATATATATATATATATATATATATATATATATATATATATATATATATATAAGCAATATTACAGAAGTAGCAGTGCAATATGGTTGTAGATCGGCCAAGTGCCTTAGTGTCCCTCTAGTGTCAATGTACAGCCATATAGCACAGCTATGAGTGTGATATTGCGTTTATACAATAATTCGACTGCATGATCGTGTATATAAAAAAGAAAATTAAACACAGAGAGTCTCATAAATCCTTTTTGAGGAACTACTTTCTTCCACCATTCATTCACATCTGCAGCTGACTGTCAGAACAGCCGAAACTGTCTTTTTAGAGCTATTTAAATTATTCTCATCTCTAATAACTCAAGTAATGACAAAACAGGTGATTTTGCTCACATTGTACGATTGTAAATCTCAACGGCATGAAATGCCATCAGTCTACAGAGATTTTCCAGTATTTCAGTGTTGCAATTGGGAGATCACAATTATTAAGCCCAAAAAAGCCAAAGGAACTTAAATACTAGCAGATTACTATGGTATAAATACAGCACTACAACATAAAAAAAGAAAGAGATCTACTTAAGAGTGTCACTTACCTGTTTCATAATGATTTGATCAGCTGTAGTTTGAAATATGAAAAGAAAATAATTTTTTTTCTTCCCCTAAGGACTTAATATGCGGTCTCTGTCACAGTGTTGCCAACTTAGCAACGTTGTCGCTATATTTAGCAACTTTTCAGACCCCCTCAGAGATAAATTGAGAAAAAAAAAAAGACTAGCGTCAAATCTAGCAACTTTTTTGTTACTGGAGATTTTGTATAGACTCTCATGTGCCCATAGGCACTGTCCTTATAAATAAACTGCATAGTTGCAATCTAAACAACCACATTCTTGGCTGAAAAAGCCTCAAGTACATTATGTTGTCCAACAGCTGCAATATTTGTCAAATTGCAGTGAGTCTATTGATCTGCTGTCATCTATGTGGTTGGAGTAATACACAAGAGTGAAGAGGCTGTACGAGTGCTGTGCTATTCGAGAACGAGAAAGAACTGTTGTATATATATATACATACCGTTGTATGTATGTATATATATATATATATATATATACACACACACACACACACACACACACACACACACACACACACACACACACACATACATATATATATATATATATATATATATATATATATATATATATATATATATATTTATATATTTTTAAAAAGGTATAAGTACCTATGTTCTCTGCAGAAACAGTGCATAATAACTATTGTATAGAGAATTTATTTATTTTATAGAAATAATTTTATATTTTATTTTATAGATTTTTCTTTGAGCATTTATTTGTCTGTAATACCTTTATTCTTAAAAGGATAGTTTGCCCAAAACTGAAAATTCTGTCATCATTTACTCACCGTTTACCTGTTCTAAACCTATTGGACCTGTAACCACTGTCTTCCACAGTATTTGTTTTGTGAATGATTACAGGTGTTCAGCTTTCTTCAAAATTCTTCTTTGTGTTCAACAGAATAAAGAAACTCATAAAGGTTTGGAAAAAGCTGGAGGTGAGTAAATAGTAAGTAAACTTTAATTTTGGAGTGAACAACCCCTTTAACCTGCGTTCTATAAATATTGCAAACTCATGATGGTTTAGAAAAACTCTCACATTTGCAATTGCCACTCTGGGCTTCAGATCTGTTCAATCACAAGCAGCTAAGCAAAGCAACTAATTTCCCTTTCTCACACAATTAAAATCTCTTAAAATCTAAAGAGGGATTTTCCATTCCCCTGGCCAGAAAATCTGCCAGCCTGCCCTCAGGTGCTCATTAGATCTCCAACACAACTGACTCATTCTACATCTTTTCATTCTGGCTCTCCTGAAAAACTAGTCAATGGCACTCTAATTTCACTCTGTAAGTACATATTGAAGATCTTCACAGTGACTTTCTGACACCAGTATATCTTCCTAAGTGGGAGAAAATGGGAATGTGACACTTCATAAGGCATTGTGTAAAGACATGGAATATGAGAAAAAGACTGAATGTCACTAAACAAGAAATCGTGGACATAAACGTAGCGGATATGTGCCTTTTGGCTAAATCAGATTCTTGAGATGCAGCGACAACTCCCAGCAGATGAAGATTCTGCCGTATATACAACACATCTTTCTTTCCAGAAAGCAGAAATACAGCCTGCCATTGAGGATGGGAAAAACGCCACAGCGTGTTTGGCATTTGTGAGTGTGACAGAGATGTTTTGGCAGAGCAACAGAACTGGTTTCAGCCGATATGTAGGCTCAGTCTCCTGGCTCAGAGTAATGAGCCACCTCAGCAGGCATCACACATCACCTGCGTCCACAATAGTGCAAAAAGTCACCATGTGCTTCTGCTCGGCGAGTCTAAAGTAACACATAAGGCTCAAATGGGTTCACCCATGCCTTAAATACTAAATAAAGCCATTTTATGGAGATTAGAACCATCATTGTGGAGTCAACTAAAGAAACAGAATGAAAGATGGACAGCATCTTAAAGAGATAGTTCACCAAAAAATGACTATTTACTAACCCTCAAGTGGTTCCAAACCTTCAGTTTCTTTTTTCTATTGAACACTAAAGGATAGATCATGACGGAATCTGTAAACCTTTAACCATTGACTTCCATAATAGGAGAACCAAATACTATGGAAGTCAATGGTTTCCAGCTTTTATTTGTGTTCAACAGATAAGAGAGAAAGTCAAACAGGTTTGACACAAGCAAAGGGTGAATAAATGACGACAGAATGTTTAATTTTGGATGAACTATGCCTTTAAAAGATTGTATTAAAACTTATTTAAAATACAGAGTGCTTAGAGTTTAATCCCAAAGCACCACACTGCAAATCTGGACAACCATAATGAGTGATGAAAGTACACAAAGTGCAGCGAAAACAAAGTCCTACCTCTTTATCAGATGCCAAAAATCACAGCCTTGATAAAGTCAGAAAACCATGGAGCTGATCGGCTGCCAATCTTTCTAATCTTTTTGCCTCGTTGTCTATTGCCAAGCGCAAATGTAGAGTGGACCATCTACCATGGGGATGGACTCCATGGGTTCCTCTGGCAGGCTGGATCAGTTGCTCTAAGGCTATCAGGTGGAAACAGTAAGCAAAGTCCAATAGTCCTCGCTGTGGGTACGGCAGAAGTGCCGTCAGAACAGAGCATCCTTCAGTGGGCAAGAAATCCAAGGGGAACGTGCCTGTAATCCCCAGACTGGAAGCATGTGCTGAAGATAAACAGGGGAGAGTTGCCTCAACATTGTTCTTTTTCCACTGGCAGCAACATCGCTCTTCTCCCACATCCTTCTGACGCTATTTATTTATGTGGGACCGGAGTGGAGCGAGCACGCGCCTGAGAAAGAGAGAGAGAGAGTGCAGGAGAGAGCTTGCACTGTCAGTGACTACATTAGCAGCTCTGAGTAGGTGGAGTTTTCTTTGCAGCAGAGGGGATCATGATTCGAAATCCAAAGGAGGGAGAGAGAGAAAGACAGATAGAGAGAGAACACAGCATGAGTAGGTTAAGAAGCAGAGGAAGGGATAAAGTAACGGAAGAGAGGGAGAGAAATACATCAGGGCATTACAGCTTGGTTGACTAGTCGATTGGTTCTGCCACTATTCAATGTTTCATAGAGGTCTATAATAATAATTTTTTAAAGAGCTATCCGGGAGTGTTTCCATTCATCTCAATGGCAGCTGCTGGGCTGACACAGGAGTGCAAGAAAGTGTGCTGTCATTTTGGGTGTTATGGAAAAATTTACCTATAAGCTGTAAATGTCATGCAACTATTTACTCTGGGGGAACATTTTGCATGGCACAATTTGCTGACAAGTTGGAATGGATATAGAAAGTGTATCAAACCCTTCACTGTGTCGATCTGTGATGTGAAGTGTAACAGACAGGCAAATAAAAAATACATTTCACATGTTTAAAGTGAGTGTGGACCGGAAGTCACTCAGACTTTTATTTCAGTTTGTTGATGTACTTCCAACTGCAGACATCTCAAGTTGGGAAAAGTCATTTCCGGGGATGGAGGGACAGACATCCCAAGTCTCACGGAAGTTCCGGGAGTGTCTTAAATATTCACTCAAACTAATAATAATCTCCCAGAAATTGCACGTCTCCCCCCTGTCCACCAGGTACCACTCACAGTCTGTGTGTAATGTATACTTATTCAGTATGAGTAAATTTGATACAACAGTTTCAAACTAAGGAGCAGTAATCTTACCATCACCCTGACCCTAGGTGAAAATAAGGATCCATTCTGCATCATGCAGTGACATTACCACCTAATTAAAATTACTCAAGAAAACAGTGTGGTGCTCTTGAGCATCTATACTGTTTATTCAAAACAAAATATCTAGTTTGGATTAGTCTATTTCATAATTAGGCCAATAATGGACAATACTGCTTTTTGTAAACAAAAAAAAAAACTAAACAAAAAAAACGCATCTAGTACAGTACTCTAGTTTAAATGTAAACACTGTATAGGATCACTTAATGCTTATGTGAGGTCTTTCTACTTTTGTTTTGAATTTACTTATTTATATACATAGGTTTATTCTGTATTACCCCCATCTCTTTCTTTCATGAACTATAAACTTTGCTACAGGTTAACTCCTGTGTGTACTCTTCAGACGGCTTTAAGAACTGTACCACATGATGGGCAGAGGGTACTTAATTTACTCTCATCACACTGTAGTGTATGAATTTTACAACCCAGGCTCATTGAAGAATACATAACCCTCGCTACATTTCTGCAAAACCAAAAAAACACACTTGCAGTTTCTATGTAAAATAAACACTAAGAAGCAGTAGAACACCTATAACATTCATTTTTTATACTAACATTGACATATTATAGGTCAATAAGCATTTTTTATGTAGTTCTTTGCACAGTATTATAAAGAGCTCGCAGTGACTTTCGTAATTGCACAAAGCATGTAAACAAACACCTTCACAGTATGTATTTTTAATCATTTGGATTATTTTTTTCTGTCATAGTGGCTCAGAATCTCACATATTGCAGTATTGTGATGAAGAGGGGGACTTGAGACGCTGAGTTAACCACAACGAAGGGGTTCGAGTCTGGTGAAGAACAGTTCCAGAAAGCAGGTTAGACAAAAACAGAATCCAAAAATTAAAATAATCAAGTAAATAACAGGGTGAGAATGTGGTAAATTCTGAAAACATGGTAAAAATCAGACGAGGGCTTTTAAAATAAAGGGCTTTTTCTGGATTGCTTTTAAAAAATTGTTGGTTGGGTTTAGGAAAGTGGGTGGGCAGGTCAATCGATAAAATTGGTTGGTTTTAGGATAGGAGGAGGGTGGGTCAGTCGATTGGTCAGTCAGTTATTCAGTCAGTCTAACAGTCAGTCAAAAACCGCCTCTGGTGGGTTTATGCATGAACAGCAGGCACGAGGCACTCGCAAGAGAACTTTGAGATCTCAAAAAGCGTACACAGCGGCCTCTTGTCGATTTGCGAAAACAAAAACTCCTAGGACGTATTTCCCGGTCTCCAGAAATGTACATAGAGGTATTTTCAGAATGAGGTTGGAAGTTGGGGCTGACATGATCATCATAGCAGCAACAGCCAATGAAATTAGTCCGCAATCATTGCCATGTTTACCTTTCTTTGCCAAGCGTTGTTCCAAGTGACTCTCATGACTGCTATCCTGTGTTTGACCCTGCCTGTTCTGATCACGTGCGTTATTTGCCTTTGCCCTTTTGGTCTGCTTTGGACTGTTCACATGTAACAGACTTTCTTCCTGTCTACACGATGTCCCTGCGCAAGCCCTTTAATAAACATCCCCATATGGATTCAAACACTGTCGAAGCCTCCTCGTTACAGAATACTTTGTCTACCATGAATCCAGAGGAAGTCTCAAGCTCGCTACTATTGCATACAAGGTAAACTAGTTGCTGGAGTCAAAAAGATGAGGGGGTCAGCTCCAATATCTGGTGAACATGAGTTTCTGCCAAGGACATTCTAGACCCTTCTCTCATCAAAGAATTTCATCGAGCCAGGCCCGACCGCCCAGCTCCCAGAACATGGGGGTGCTCCGGGAGTGGCTCCTAGAGGTGGAGGGTTTTTTTAACACTACGCCAGCAGAGGGGGCCCTCGCCGGACTATTGACTCAAAAACGCAAGCCATGTTACTTTGCAAAATATTGCCAGTTTACCTGCCTTGCCAAGCATTGTTCCAAGTGATTTTCAGTGCCATGTTTACCTTCCTTGCCAAGCGTTGTTCCATGTGACTCTGATGACTGCTATCCTGTGTTTGACCCTGCTTGTTCTGATCATGTGCGTTATTTGCCTTTGCCCTTTTGGTCTGCTTTGGACTGCTCACATGTTGCAGACTTTCTGCCTGTCTACACGTTGATGTCTCTGCGCAAGCCCTTAAATAAACATCTGCATATATATTCAAACACTGTCGAAGCCTCCTCGTTACAGAATACTTTGTCTACCATGAATCCAGCGGAAGTCTCAAGCCTGCTACTGTTGAGCACAAGGTAAACTAGTTGCTGGAGACGAAAAGATGAGGAGGTCAGCTCCAATATCTGGTGAACATGAGTTTCTACCAAGGACATTCTGGACCCTTCTCTCATCGAGGAATTTCATCAAGCCAGGCCCGACCATCTAGCTCCCAGACAACGGGGGTGCTCCAGTAGTGTCTCCTAGAGGGGTGGTGGGGGGGCTGGGGGGGGGGTTTAACACTACGCCAGCTGAGGGGGCCCTAGCCCAACTATTGACTCAAAAACGTAAGCCATGTTACTTTGCAAAATATTGCCAGTTTACCTGCCTTGCCAAGCATTGTTCCAAGTGATTTTCATTGCCATGTTTACCTTCCTTGCCAAGCGTTGTTCCAAGTGACTCTCATGACTGCTATCCTGTGTTTGACCCTGCCTGTTCTGATCACGTACGTTATTTGCCTTTGCCCTTTTGGTCTGCTTTGGACTGCTCACTTGTTGCAGACTTTCTGCCTGTCTACACGTTGATGTCTTTGCACAAGCCCTTTAATAAACATCTGCATATGGATTCAAACACTGTTGAAGCTTCCTCGTTACACACACCTACCCAAACGAACCACACCAAGAGGGTAAACAAACATTATTGTGATTTAACAGAACTAAATGAGGCAGGTGCAAAAACACTCTTAGTTGTGTACCCAGACACTTAAAAGTAACCTTTTAGAGCAGTAATCCCAATACCATGAAACCGTGATGTTTGTATCCAAGTTAATAATACCATCAGAATCTTTTGACAGCCCATGCCTAGACGTCACCCATTCAAAGTGATCATCATTGACATTGAGGCCCTGAGTGAATGCGTTTAGGTTTAGATTATGGTTTAGCATAGGTAATGAATACCACAAACACCGCCATGTGGATATTTCATTTGAACACTGCAGTGAAATGTACCCAGAGCAACATATTTCAAATTTTTCAGGAAAAATAGCCAAACTCCAATTTCCAGTGAGCCTGAGTTTTAAATGTTTAAAAAACTTTAAAATTTTAAATGTTTTAAAAGTTTTTTAATTGCTTTAATCAGCCAACTTTAGTTATTTTTGTCATTCATGTTTTTTTCCAGCAGCCTGATCATTCAAAAACATCAAATAATGCATCAAATGAGGTTTTAAGGAAAACATTAAGAATAAAAATATTACAATTCCAAATGATCAAGACATTGGGACATCCTAATCGAGCCTATCATACAGCTTCTGCCTGTAGTGGGTATTCATGCAACACAAGTAATGACGTACATCCGAATCAATGAGGCATAGAAGTTAGTGACGGAAAAGCATAAAAAATGAAGTGGAACGCAGCCAAGTTCTGCTCTTGCAGAGTTCAGCTCTTACTCTATTTAAAAACACATGGACTAGCTTGTCAAAGTCTTTCTATAGACTGTAAGGCCTTTCCATAGACTACAGAAAAATAGAACATTTCTCCGTCCTAACTCTGTGTCCCAATAAATAGTATAAAACACAGGGATGAGCTATTTATAACATGACACTGTCTCGAAATCTGAACAGACAGGACAAGACACCTCAAGTCCAAAATAAAAATAGCAGACAGAAATGAAGAACAAGAACAGTTCTGATAGCTGAAAATACTTAGAATTATGCAACTACTGTACGGAAGGATGTTAGCCGTCTATGCATTCACAAAGAATTTTCAAAATATATTGTTGATTGACATCTGAGACATTCTAGATTCATTTCAACCATTTTTATAATAAAATTGATCATGTGGTGCTTCAAGCTTATGGAAACTGTATGCGATCATCATGTGCAGTTTCTGGACTATTCCTGTAAACCGCACGCAGCATGAATCTGGCAACACAGATAAGCACACTTTCATTTCTCA